GAGCAATAAACCACCCTCAATTCCACTGGCTGGTGCAGTCTGTTTGTGCCATTTCGGGGTGCAGGAGACGGGGCACATTCAGGAGGGCAGGTGGGGGGTGCCTCACCTCCCACCTAGGGGGGCTTCAGAATTGTGGTGCCTCAGTTTCCCCTTTAGCTCCAGTGCCGGCCACAAATGGGGACCAGCAATGAGGCAGCTCCCCTCCCTGGCTGCTTTTTCTGTTGCTGTGTTTGCACAACATCTAGCGGGGTGAGGCCACAGGCCATGAACGAGGGCCTTGGTACTACCATAATACACCTAATAAATTGCACCACTAATGTACACCATATGCAGTTTTGGCCTCTGACCCGGATGCCTACCTGCTACCATAATCCATCTAATAAATAGCTCTATTAATGTACACTGTATGCAATTTTAGTCCTTGATTTGGATGCCTAACTGCAACCATAATATACTTAATAAGTGGCACCATTAATACACAGTGCTTAACTCCTTGGGGTTTTGGTCCCTGCTATTATGTGCTACCGTAATACACACAATAAACAGCAGCCGTAATGTACAATGAGGAGTCCCATGGGATTTTGGTCCCTGACTTGGGTGCCTGCATGGTACCATAATGCACCTAATAAATGGCACTAATAATGTACACTACCTAGCACAATGGAGCCATGGGCTCTGCCTAAGTGGGCCTATAATGCACCTAATAAATGATCACGTACAGGTCCTAGCGCGGGGAGGTTGTAGTCCAAGACTGGTGTTCTCAGGCATGATGACAGCGACATGATTCTGCAGTGACCCTCTTTGTAGGGGGCAGCTCCACCCCTGGAGCTTTCTGTCCGACCCTGCGGGATGATTTGCCCTTCCGATCTATCCAGGACCCCACAATGTCCATCCACGCGCAGCTTTCGCCACCGACGCTCCCTTCTGGACGCTGTGATTCAAAGCAGCAAAGCTCTTGAGCCGTTGGAGCCCTGGCTGACAACGCCGCGGCTCCGAATGTACCCAGCAACCCGCCCGACGCCGGCCTGCGATGAGCCCGTTTTCTTGCTTCGCCTGTGAGTCAGTCAGGAGTTTTGTCGATGGGAATCGTGTTTCGTCGGTGTGTGTGCAGGGGTCGCCAACCCTCCAGGGCTGCCCTGGAGCCTCCGGGGATTCAAGATGCACCTTTGATGCAAGCTATCGCACGGAAGCTCCGGGAATACATCCAGTCCAAACTGGCCACCCTAAATGTGCCAGGGGCGCTGCTCCTTCCCAGAAATCTCCCTTCCAAAAGAGGCGCATCCTTGGACAGCCGGGCATCTGGTTCAGACACCCGACACTGGAGTTCTCTGATTTAGATCCACCTGCATTGCCCCCCTAGGTATAATGCAATGCAGCCATCCCGTGTCCACGGTGTGTGCCACGGCAGATCTGCCTGAGCCTTTCAGCTCCCCTTTCCAGGGGGTTGCTTTATTCACCCAAACTACAGAGCCAACGTGAACACAAAACACGCAGGGCATAGGGGCTTTTGCCTCAGTTCCACAGCCAGCCCGATCGATCACCCACCCACCCAACCAATCCATCCATCCATCACCCACCCACCTTCCTACAGCACCTCCTCCTGCAGCTCAGTCCTTAGAAACGACCTGACACATCCCAGCTGGGGCTGATGGACTGCACACAGCAGAGGCTGGCCCTAAACCTCTGACTGCCCGGCTGCCCTGGACCCACGTTTTGTGAGGCTTTGCCCCTCTGCATGGAGTCCAGCAGTGGCGCCGTGGGCCCAGGAGCACCGTGCAGTGACTGAGTCTGCCCGGTAGGTGCAGTGGCAGGGTTGGTCGGTGAGCCGCATGGGGGACTGGCGGGGGGGGGGGTTGCTCGCTGGCTTTTCACCGCTGCTCCCTGGGTCAAACCCAGATGGCCCGAGGGATGCTGCATGTGGCCGACGAGACCTTTTCTTTGCTCATGGCCAGGGTGATCAGGTTCTGCCATTTTGGTTTCCTGCCGGGGTTATTAAAGTGACACTCCCCTAAAGCTGGGGCGTGAGGGGTGCGCGGATTGCACACAGTGCTGATGGGGAGAGCCGGGCGCTCGCCAGCAGCCAATCAGTGCGCCCCTCCGGCTCCATCTGCGCCTCCTAGGGGTGCAGGTACCACCAGCAAAACTGCCCTGTCCCGGGAGACCACTGGGGTTAGGACAATCTTGCAGCCCCTGAGAGGAAGGAGGCCACCCATGCGGCCCACTCGCTAGCCTCGGTTGGCCCTCACCGCCCTGGGGGACAGACCCCTTCGCTGGATGCTTGTGGACACAGAGCTCCCCGGCTGTCCTAGCTCAGGGAGCTGGTGCCCCCTAGAGAGGAAAGGGCACATGCCCCACTGCCTGCTCCACTGTGCCAACCAGTCCCTGCCCCGACGCCGGGTGGGAGCTGGCCCCATGTCCCATTCCCTGCCCCTCTGAGTTGGCCCATCCCCTGCCATGAGGCTGCACTGGAGCCAACTTCCCCTAGGGAGGAAAGGCCCTGTCATGATTATGGGGTTAGCCAGCAGCCTGGGGATTAAGGGGTTAACTACACCTAGCCAGGTGGAGTGACCAGTAGGAATGTAGGTGGGACTTTCAAACTGGGACAAAGGAATTTGGGTTTTTTCCTTTCTCCTTTTGTCTCTCTGGGTGAGTCCTCTGCAGCTACAGAGAGGGACAAGCATGTCTCTCTCGCGCCAAGAAACAATTCTTCATTTTCTGTGAGTAGGGTAAGGGTTGGGTAGTTTCCTTAGGCTTTATTGTTTTAAGGGTTGGGTCTGGGATCTGAGATCTGGCACTGCTTAAAAGATGTTTTGGCTTTTCTTTGTAACTAAGTTCTAGGCCCATGGAGTTTTTTTCCATGGCTGTGTCTAGACTGGCCAGTTTTTCCAGAAAATCAGCCGCTTTTCCGGAAAAACTTGCCAGCTGTCTATACTGGCCGCTTGAATTTCCGCAAAGCACTGACTTCCTACTGTCTGAAATCAGTGCTTCTTGCGGAAATACTATTCTGCTCCCGTTCTGGCAAAAGGGCCAGCGTAGACAGCCCAGATTTGTTTTCTGCAAAAAAGCCCTAATCGTGAAAATGGCGATCGGGGCTTTTTTGCAGAAAAGCGCGTCTAGATTGGCACGGACGCTTTTCTGCAAAAAGTGCTTTTGCAAAAAGCGTCCGTGCCAATCTAGATGCTCTGTTCCGAAAATGCTTTTAACAGAAAACTTTTCCGTTAAAAGCATTTCCAGAAAATCATGCCAATCTAGACGCAGCCTCTGAGTATATTTTGTTACCTTCCCATCTAGTCATTATGGTTGCAACAGGAATATTATTGTAATAATAAAAGTTCTTTCTTTTCTTTTTATTAACCTGGAAGTGGTTAATTGTGTGCCCTGATTTTTATTTTAGGGGTGAGATTTCCCAAATGATCTTTCCCCTGGTTTCTTTAGCAACATTTGGGTGGTGGCAGCGGAAGTTTTATTCCCAAGATCTAGGGTTTTAAGATCTTGGGGGAAGTTTTATGCCAAAGCCTGGTAGATAAGGCTTTGGGGTACACTTGCTGGCCCCCACTTCTGCATTTATCATGCCAGAGTGGGGAAGGAGCCATGACAGGCCCCATGCCCAATTTCCCCCAGGCCTGCCTGGAGCTGAGGCCCATTGGTAGTGTGTGTGGGGGGACTACAGGCTGTGTATATGGGGCCTGTATTTTAGCATGTGTGGGTTTGTGGGGGAGCTCTGTGTGTGTGTGGGGGGGGACTCCTCCTGCCTGTCTCCCCCCCACACAGATTCTGAGCCCGGCCCCTTGGCCTCCTGCA